AACGGGTTGTTGAAAAACGAAATCGGTCTTTATACGAGGCTGCTAGAACCATGCTCTCATTTGCGAATCTGTCGCTCTACTTCTGGAACAACGTGCTTTACACAAAATCGCTCAATTCTCAACAAGCGATTCGCAATTACTCCCTATGAAATCCAGAATAAACACAACCCAAATGTTAGGGTTTTCCATGTTTTTGGTTCTCTTTGTTTTATTTTCAACTCCAAGGAGCAATAGAACAGATTCGATGTGAAGGCTGACAAAGGTATTTTCTTGGGATATTCGCTGACCTCCAAGGCATATAGAGTTCTTAATAAAAAATCCAAAAAGATCAAAGAAACCTATTATGTCACATTCGATGACAACTATTTAAAGAGGAATCCACAGACTGCGAATCGATCAAAGGAGATCTTTCCACAAGCGAATCCTACAACCATACCATTGGCTAATCTCTATGAAGAATTCATGATTTTATTTGATGAACCAGCTAAAGCTATTTCATTAGAATCCAAAGCAGCAGACAATAAAGAGGATGAATTGAAGAAAATAATCGATGATGCTATTAAAGATCAACAAAGCAAACCTCACAGTTTGAAATCACAACCGACTAGCACACCTCTCTAGGGGGAGAATCCCGATTCAACTACAAGTACAAGCTTTCAGGGGGAGAAAATCCATTCCACAAGATACGAACACTCCAGTGTAGGGGAGGGTTTTACTTCATCTATTGACCCACCAACAGTGAGTCACGAACTTCCATTTGGAGGAGACAATTCCATTCCTGAAGAAGAGGATCTATCATCATTCGAGGGGGAGAATAGAGATGTGAATGATGATTCGGATGTACAATCAGAGTTTGAGGAGGTAAATACATAATTGGATCCTTCTTATGATTTGAATTCCCTCTGTTAACCAAATGGACCAGAGATCATCGAAAACCCAAGTCATTGGAGTGTCTTCTGCAGGAGTGCTCACCAGATCCCAACAAAAAGTGAAACAAACTGCATTATTCTCTAAATTGGAATTTTTATGTTTAATTCATTTGTTTCCAAGGTTGAACCTAAAACTGTTAACACTGCTCTTGATCATTCTGATTGGGTGCAAGCGATGCAAGATGAACTCAACGAGTTTGAATGAAACAAGGTTTGGAGGTTGATTCCCACTCCACCAAATGTATCAGTCGTTGGTTTAAAATGGGTGTTTCAAAACAAGCTGGACAAAGAGGGAAACATGATAAGTAACAAGGAAAGACTCGTTGTCAAGGGATATTTCCAGGAAGAAGGTATTGACTATGAAAAAACCTTCGCACCAGCTGCAATGTTTGAACGAAACAAGGTTTAGAGGATGATTCCCACTCCACCAAATGTATCAGTCGTTGGTTTAAAATGGGTGTTTCGAAACAAGCTGGATAAAGAGGGAAACATGATAAGTAACAAGGAAAGACTCGTTGTCAAGGGATATTTCCAAGAAAAAGATATTGACTATGAAGAAACCTTCGCACCAGCTGCAATGTTGGAATCTGTTCGTATCTTCTTGGCATATGCAACACACAAGAACTTAGAAGTATTTCAGATGGATGTTAAATCTGCATTCTTGAACGACGAACTTGAAGAGAGAGTATATGCGGAACAACCACCTGGGTTTGTAAACGAGAAGTAATCCAATCTCTGTTACATCCTAGACAAGGCTGTCTACGGTTTGAAGCAAGCTCTAAGAGCCTAGTATGAAACTCTTACTAGATTATTAAAAATGTATAAATTTAAACAAGGTTCGGTTGACCCTAACTTATTTTGTAAGAAAGAGGGTGACCACTTGATGATTGTCCAAATTTATGTTGATGACATCATCTTCGGATCTACTAATCCCAGCCTAAAAGCTCAATTCCGAAAGTTTATGGAAACTAAATTTGAGATGAGCTCCATGGGTCCTATTAACTTTTTCCTTGGACTAAATATTAGACAGAGTCAGGAAGGTATCTTTATTAACCAAGAGGCTTACATGAAGAATCTACTTGCAAAGTTTGGGATGGTGGGAGATTCAAAAGCGAAGGTTCCAATGACGTTACAAATGAAACTTACTCCCTCTTTGGATAAACCAACTGCAGACATGACACTCTATCATCGAATGATAGGTTCCTTAATGTATCTAACTGCGAGTCGTCCAAATATTATGTTTTCTGTTTGCTATTGTGCTAGGTTCCAAGCTAATCCTCGAGAACCTCACATGACGACAGTCAAGAAAATTTTCATGTATCTAAAGCGAACGTCCTCACTTGGAAGATGGTACCCTTTGCATTCTGGGTTCTTTGTACAAGCATTTTCGGATGCTGATCTCGGAGGATGTGGATTAGATAAGAAAATTACCACTGAAGGATGCCAATTTCTTCATGGAAAACTTGACATTTGTCAATCCAAGAAGCAAACCTATGTGTCCCTATAACCAGCTAAAGTTGAGTATACAATTGTTGCCTCATGCACTTCCTAGGTTATTTGGATTCAAAGCCAGCTTCATGATTATGGCCTAAGTATGAAGAGAATCCCATTATATTGTGACTTTGAAAGTGCTATTCGCATTTGTCACAACCCAGTGCAACACTCAAAGACGAAACATATAGCAATGAGGTATCATTTCATTAAGGATCATGTAAAAGATGGCAACGTTGAAATTCACTTCGTAAGATCTGCTGATCAATTGGCTGACATATCCACAAAAGCCTTGTCTGAAACAACCTTCAATAGAATTCTTCAACGCCTAGGAATGATGGAACTTGAATATGTGCCAAAACCACATTCTCATCAATAAACTTCATCACTGCGAATCGGTGCGAACGCTCGCAGTAATTCACAGTCTACTGTTCATTCGCAGTCAACTTCATCACTGCGAATCGGTGAGAACGTTCGCAGTAGTTCGTGGTCCACTGTTCATTCGCAATCTACTTTAACACTGCGAATCAGTGCGAACGTTCGTAGTAATTCGCAGAACACTGTTCATTAGTGGTTTTGTTTTTAATATCCT